GGTAAACCGTAGGCAGAGAGAGAGAAGAGGACAACAAACGAGGGGCTGTGACAAACTGTTTCGTCGGAGTTTCATATTAATTTTTATTTATTTTAAATTCGGTAAAGGATTTCGAGGTGATCCTGAGGCAAAAGTTGGTCAGTTTATTTTTCTGCATAACATAGTGTTTTTTTTCGGATTTTGTTTTTGCTGGGACCTTCCCTGGTCCTTGCACGGTCGGGGCACCCGGGAAAACAGGGTGACCCGGGCGGACTGGCTGGTAACCTAGCCTTTAATTTAATGTTATTAATTAATTTAATCAATTAAATTTAATTTGGTTTTCGTATTTGTGGGTTGCAAAAAAAATCTTAAACTCCAGTTGAAGCCAGCAAGGCAAAGGGAAGGCAAATCTGGTTCTGCGTAGCATCGTGTTTGCGTTCGGAGGCGAACCAGAACACGTTCGCCCGAACGCGAATGAGCGCCCAAAACCCTCTGAACACGAACAGAAAAAAATAAATGAAAACAAAATCTGAAAAATGTAAAACAACAATACAAGCAACTGTTGCCTTGGAGTCATGTTCAAATTCTTAGCCAAACGTGAGCAAAAAATAAAAAACCGAAAAAAAGTTTTTTTTTTTTCACGGAGAAAAAGTATGTTCGCCCGAACACGTTTGCGAGCTGTTCGCACCAACGCGGAGGGGCGCAAACACGTCCGCAGTGCTGCGTAGATCTGGTTCCTCCTTTTTCTGTTTTTTGTTTTGTTTTTGAATGGGGAATCAGGTTCTTTTTGGCACCCTATTGATGGAAAAAAAAAAAAAAAAAAAAAACTGAAATAGACCTTACATGCTGCAATAACTGTATCTGTCTGGATGGCTGACTAAATTCGTACTTGGTCTGTTTGTCTGGATGGCACACTCATTCTTTTTTTTTTTGGTTTTTTGGATGGCTCACTCATTCAGGGGGGTGGGGGTGGAATAAAATTCCAAGGTTGCTGTTGGTGAAATGCTTTACAGCCGTCGATCCCATCCGTGGCTGCGTCGTGGTCTTTGCTGCAAGTATTTTTCTTTTTTCTTTTTGCCCCTGCTGATTTGAGGAAATGACCGATCCAACGAGCTGATCGATGGTCATGCCTGTTCCAGCAGAGGAGGATGGTGTGGAGTCGGGCGACACGGAGGGATGGGGGGAAGAAGGAAGGAGAGGGACAGGAGGGGGTGGGAATGGGGAGGAGTGCACAACCTTCATGTACAGGCAACATGTCCTCTACATGTGGGAGATGAGCCTAGGCTTACCTCGAGCATATGCCCAAGAAGAAAGCCAAAGACTCGTACTTGCGTATTTCGCAATTGTTGGCTTGGACGTATTAAATGCGCTGCATCTGGTCTCGACGGCGGATGTTATAGACTGGGTGTACTCTTTGCAGGTGGTGTCTGGTAAACTGACGGAGGAGGAAGAAGAAACTGGAACCGTGGAGAGTCCCGATCCCGATCCCGGTCCCGGTCCCAGTCCCAGTCCCAGTGATCAGTCCCATCCTTGCATCCGAAATGCTTCTGTCACAGATAGAGGAGAGTGTGATAGCAAGGAGAACCAGTCCCAGTCCCAGTCTCATTCCCAGTCCCAGTCCCATTCTCAGTCCCACGATTGCACTGGTTCAAAAGCCGCAAGTGGGAATGGCAGCAGAGGGGTCTTCGGTAACGAGGAGGGGGTAAAAAGCGAGGGGGGGGGGGGGTATGCCAGTGGTATAGACAAGGTAGTAGAAGGTAGTTCGAGCTCGACCTTGAAGAGGACAGGAGGAGCAGAGCAAGGAAGAGAGGAGGATCCCTTTGGCACGAGCTCAACCACAACGGTGAACTTGACCACAAACTCGACTATGTGCGCAGGCACTTCCATGAACTTGAGCACGAACTCGACTACAACCGCTACCACGACCACAGAAGGAAAAAGTGCCCTTGTTGATTGTAAACAAGGGTACAAGCAAAAAGTACCCTTGACCCGAAACTTGAATTGTGATGAGCGGCTACGGGCAAGGGTTGTCGAGGATGTAGTGTACGGCTTCCGTGGATCCCATTCGATTGGGATCGGGTTCGATCCGAATGGTGCGATTCCGTTGCGGCATGATGGCGGTCATGTGGCTATGACCTATTCTGCTTTGGCGTTGCTAAGGACGCTCGGCGATGACTTCTCGCGCGTCGAGAGATTAGGAATCGTCCGAACACTGCGAAAGCTGCAGCAGCCAGACGGCAGCTTCCGAGCCGTCATGGAAAGTTCGGAGGCAGATCTTCGCTTGGTCTTCTGCGCGGCAGCGATCTCGCATTTCCTCGACGACTGGAGAGGAATGGACGTTGGTGCAGCAGTTGGTTTCATCAGAAGGAGCCAGTCGTACGATGGGGGCTTCGGGCTGTGCCCGGGGTTGGAAGCTCACGGAGGGGCGACGTACTGTGCGGTTGCGTCTCTTAAGCTCTTGGAGAAAGTTTGGAGGCCTGAACTGGAAGGAAATGGCAGGAACGGGGGAGGACGGGAAGAGCTGCGGCCACGGATGGTACACGAACACGACGGCGTGCTGACATCGAGCTGGGCTGATGAGGTGGTGTTCCCCACCACCGCGACCACCCTGTGCGGGGTTGACGTGGGTCGTGTGATTGCGTGGTGCTTGCGGAGGCAGACCGCTTGCGGCGGTTTTGATGGCCGAACGAATAAGCAGGCCGACACTTGTTACGGCTTCTGGGTGGGTGCGAGCCTGCACATTTTGCAGGGCTACGAGCTTTTCGACCACGAGAAGTTGCACGAGTTCTTGCTCAGCAACCAGGACGATGACGGCGGATTCGGACGCACGTCCACGGAGGTTCCAGATTTGTTCCATTCTTTTTATGGGCTTTTGGCAATTAGCCTGCTGGGGGAGAGCGGACTGAAGCCCATCTGTCCCGAACTAGGGATTACGCTCCAAGCTGCGGAAGGAGGAGGAGGAGGAGGAGGAGGAGGAGGAGGAATATATGGTGGGTGAGCGACAAACTGTTTGTTGTCTATTTTTGTTGACAACTAACAACAACAACAACGACTACGGGATTACGCTCAACAACATCAACGGGACTTACTCTTACGTACCTACCTTACGGGGAAAGAGCTTTCCGGTAAGGCACTTAAGGAGACCGTACCTACCTAACGGGGAAAGAGCTTTCCGGTACGGCACTTAAGGAGACGACTTGGAGCTGGGGCTTCGTTATGTACGTGCGTTGCATGTGTTGATATATAGTCCTCGAGGAAGGTCCGTAGCGACCTGATGGGATCAGAATTCAGCCGTTGATGGATGTTCATGATCAGGGGCCACTGGAGGCCGGCGTGAGAGCAAAACGACGTCACTTTTCCAGTTGTTGTGTCATTCAATCGGCGGAATGTGAATTTCGCTCAGCCTAATGAATGAATGGGCAGAGTACCATCTGTTAGAAATTCCAGCAGGTTGTGGTGAAGGATTCTCTTGTCGCCCTTGTCCCAGTTCCTCGTCTTGTTCCACTTGTCCCACTTGTAGCAGGTCCTTCTTTTGTCCCACTTGTCCCACCTGTCCCAGATCCTTCTCTTGTCCCACTTGTCCAATTTGTCCCAGTTCCATTATCGCTGCAGTTATTATTGCATTTCTATGTCCTGGGGAAGATGCTGGTGGTTCGCAATATTCGCAGCCTATACGCAGATATTTGTGGACGTGCACATACCAGGCTTTGCACTTGTCTGTGCTCGTTCTTCTCGTTTTGCTAGGGTTTAAGCTCTTGCAGACCGAGCGCTCGAAGGCCTAACCCCCCCAAATCCCAAACTCCCAGCCCCAAACCTCAAACCCCAGACCCCAAAGCCTGGTATGCATACGACCACCGATCTCTGCGCATTGTTATAAGACTCTGAAATTCTGAATCTAGCATACTGCCGCTGTCTTCCCCAGACATCCCTTTCCTGTGGAGTTGTTGAATGTATCAGCGAACACAAAACACAACACAGTGGGTGTGTAGAGTGGGCTTTATGGCCTGTCTTAAACAGCATCGCTAGCACTGGAGGGACTTTGTTTAAAAAAAAAAAAAAAAAAAAAAAAAAAAAAAGACTGGCCTTTATGGCGGTGACAGAGACTATGGTAGTTCCGTGGACTTACTGGCCTTCTTGTCAGGGGTTTGGGTTTGGCTTGACTGTCTGCTAGGTTTGCAGGGCCTGTGATCACTTTTCTCTCTCTCAGGGGTATGGCTCTAACTCTGGGCGACGGGGTGAGTGCTCATCCATCAGTCAAATGCATGCTTGACACTGTTCGCCTAGCCCGGCTAGGTTCAACCTCCTTCCTGACGAGTCCTTGAAAGTCTGATAAAACCGTCAGGTACAGTCATGTCTTTTTTGTGAAGTGGTGTGGTGTGCAGTAAACATCTCAGTGCACACACACACACACACACACACACACTACCATAGGCAACAGCTACTCATCCTGCAACCCAAACACTGATTGATTTCTTGTGTCATTCTATAGTCGTCTGCTCCAACGGTGTGTATAAAGAACCTATTGAACACTCTCTTTCTCTCTCTCTGCTCCAACGGTGTGTATAAAGAACCTATTGGACACTCTCTCTGACACTCTCTCTCTCTCTCTCTCTCTCTCTCTCTCTCTCTCTCTCTCTCTCTCT